GCGTTCATACAAGCTGTGGTTAGGCAGGAGTTGGTGAACCTCGGCGTTCCATCAACATGTCCCTTGACTTGTCCTGAAGTCCTGCCTTACTCTCCAGGACACGCACGCCGTTTACCTCCGACAATGCCCTTCCATAACCCTTCGAAATGGTGGACACCCGACGACTGGCCTATTTGTTTTTCATGGCACCAGCCTGGGCACGTTTTTCGCTATTGCCGCCGCCGTTGGTCAAACCAACCACGTCAGACCTTCTCTACCTCTGTGCACATGCACCCGACGACCCCTCGACGCTCAGCCACCGCACCGTTCAGTTTCTATTTGTCGTCGTCTTATGAGCCTTCCACTGACACCTCTTTGCCTGGTCCCCGCTACACTGACGCCCCTTCGCCCGGTCGCCGAAACTCCCGCTTCCCATCGCCGCTACGTCGCCAATCCTCCTCTCCGCCACCTCGGCGCTTTTCCTCGCTGTAACGAAAAGACTTAAAGACGCCGAGGAACGTCAAACCAGAACTGAAGAAGACGAGCGGAGGGCAGGTGGCACGAAGGCGACAACAAGAAATGAAGAGAATAAGAAGGCACGTGCGATTACGAGGCAACTGTGCGCCAATCAGCTGATGACCAGTGGTGGCCCATAGAGGTGGCGTGCCACGATTGGGCCACGTGCGACCATTACGTGGCAGTAGGCTGTGTGGCTGGGGACGAGCCGGAGCAGCGGCAGACGAGAGACAGCGGGCCGAAGCGTCGGACGCAGGCGATCCAGGTTCGGGCCAGGGAACGCGGCCGTCCACGCTGCTGCCGTCCAACCACCAGCTGGGGCGGCATTGTCGGCACGAGTACTGCATCTCGGGGCGCGGCCTGGCCTGCTGTTCTCTTCCTTGCCGAGGGCATTGCGAATCTCGGCGAGGCGTCTCCACGGTCAGCCGTTCGACACAGCGATGAACGTGGCCTGGCTAATGGTCACGGTTGCGTCGAGCATCGCATCTCGGCGCACGCTCTTCGCTGGACGGGCTGGCCATTCCCCGCATGGAGCATCGCGTCTCCGATGCGGGTTGACTGCTCAGTAGTCGCACCCATGTCATCAAGCGCCGGTGTCACCAGAGTGTCGCACATCGGCAAGGGACGAGCGAGACGTTCTGCCGGGCGAGACGCGGGCGTGTGCACGGAGGACCACGGAGCCGTGCAAGGTCCAGGGTGGCCGAGGTTCCAGGTGCCAGGGGAGTTGCTGGCTGAATTGAGGATCGCCAGTGGTGCCGAGCCGTACCGGGGAACGTGCGAAAAAGAGCTCGAGGGTGGAGGCCACGAAGGCAGAGGAAGCGGTGCGCCGCTCGAGAGGACGAGTTCCTGGCAGCGTTCCTGAGCCGGACGTGGGACCCGTACGTGTCGGCCAGGTCGAGCTCCGATGTGTCGGTTCGAGGTCGAGTCCGTCGGCCTGTACAAGGTCCAAGGACGGGGCCTGCTGAACGGCTCCCGCCTGGGTGCAGTGGCCGCGTGCAGGTTCGTGGGCGAGGCCTACCGGATGTGGTCCTCGTGAGCCGTGGCCTGATCCTGGACCTCGGGAGTTGCGACCCAGGCTGCTGGGTTGGTCGCGACGTCCGATTCAACGGCGCTGCACACGGTAGCGCACCCGTGTGCGGTCAGCCGTTCCAGCCGTGCCACCTTTGCCCTCGCGCACGTCGACGACCGCATCATGTCGGAACGACGGGGACCTAAACTGCGACGTTCCCATTCCTGGACCAGGAAGTGCACAAAACCGAGAAGAACAAGGTGTGCCTGTACAAGTAGGTGTTTCCGCCGCACCTGCCGCACCCGACGCTGGCCTTCATCGGGCTGCTGCACATGCTTGGGGGCATGTTCCCCGCGCAGGAGGCGCAGAGCCATTGGTTCGCGCAGCTCATCAACAAGAAAGTGTCACATCCTTCTCTAGTGTGCAATATAAAGCTTCTTTCGGTCGCATCACATGTTGATGTCAATCCTTTCTCGTCCGCTATAAGCAAACATAGTGACGAACGTCCTTAACCATCACACTCGCCCAACTTGTCTGCACGATCACAGCAGGAAAGCTAGATATTGCAGCTTATAGAAGTGAAGCTGCAATAACAATGACGGCCGAAAGTCCTCTACTGACGCTTCCCACGCACCACAGCCTGCTTGAAGTACAAGTCGACCATGTTCCTGTGACTGCCTTCATTGACAAAGGCGCGCACCTGTCTAATATGAGCGCTTCTCTACGCCGCCGCTTGCAAAAGATTATGACGCCGTCTACGACGCAGGAAATACGTGTGACCGATGGCGGTACTGTACCAGTTATCCGAACGCGCACTGATCGTGTCAGCATTGCCGGTCGTCACGCCGTGGTTTTTTTTGCAGTGCTAGCCTGTTGCCCTCATGACCTCATACTTGGTCTTGATTTCCTTTTCGCACACTCGGCCTTAATTGGCTGTTCGTCTGGTACCCTCAACCTCGATCTTTTCATCTTTGCCGCCTACTCGGCCAAGCCCACCAGCCGCTTGAGCCAAACCACATTCGTTCGCCGGCCACCTCGAGCCGTCACGTACGTGTCTTTGTCATCGGCCCCTCCCGTTCCTGACGGTGATTATGTCGTTACGCCGATTACCGATGTTCGGCTGACGCGAAGTGCTACTGTGCCCCATACCGTCGCGACCATAGCAGATAACTGCGTGTTCGTTCCGCTCCTTAACTTTGGTTTCACCCCTGAAGTGTTGCCCTGCCAAATGTCTCTAGCCCAGCTAACTGCCATAACAGACGACGATGTCAGTGTTGTCGCTGTATCTTCTCCTGATCGAAGCGCACTTTCAGGGTCACCCAGCTCAGACGATACTATTTTTCGAAACATGATTGTATCGAATCTTTCGTCTCACCAGGTCGACGCTCTCTGCCAGTTTTGAGCTCATGCAGTGACATTTTCGACACCCACGATCGTCCCTTGGGCCACACTAGAACTGTCACTCACCAAATGAACACTGGTGACTCTATGCCCATTTACCGTCGGCCTTACTGCGTGTCAGCGTCCGAACGAGAAGTGATTCAAATAGCAGTGGCCAAAATGCTTATGAAAAACGTAATTGAACCATCATTGAGCCTTTGGGCATCTCCCGTGGTATTAGTAAAGAAGAAAGACGGCTCATGGCGTTTCTGCATTGATTATCGCCACCTCAACAAAATTATCAAAAAAGACGTGTACCCTCTACCACGAATTGACGATGCCCTCGATTGCCTCCATGGCGCCACCTTCTTTTCATCTCTCGACCTCCGACCTTGCTACTGGCGAATTGCTGTAGATTACATGGACCGAGAAAAGATCGCCTTCGTTACCCCTGACGGTTTTTGCCAATTCAAGGTCATGGCCTTCGGTCTCTGCAAGCCCAGCGACCTTCTAGAGAATGATAGACACGCTCCAACAAGGATTTTTATGGTCGGCATGTTTGTGTTACCTGGACGACGTGATCATTTTCTCACCTACCTTCGCAACCCACTTTGAAAGCCTTTCGGCGATTCTATCCATGTTTCGACGGGCTGGCCTGCAGCTCAATGCCTCCAAGTGCCACTTCGGTCTTCGTCAGATTACCGTGTTGGGTCACCTTGTTGACGCTGCCGGCGTACGACCACACCCGGCGAAAGTGCGCGCTGTAACAAACTTCCCAGTCCCACGCTCTGTTCATGATGTTCGCAGTTTCGTGGGCCTCTGCTCATACTTTCGCCGGTTCGTGAAAAACTTTGTGGCACTCGCACGGCCACTCACCAACCTTCTCAAAGAAGACGTCTCATTTTGTTGGGGCTCTCTTCACGCTGACGCCTTCTCTCATCTAATCACTGCTTTAACGAAACCTCCTATTCTTGCACATTTCAACCCCGATGCTCCTACAGATGTGCGAACAGACGCGAGTAATCGCGGAATTGGTGCTGGTTTGGCGTAAATTCATCGGGGCAACGACCGTGTAGTTGTGTATGCAAGCTGTCTGCTTTCAAAGTCTCAACGCAATTGCGCTATAACAGAACGGGAATGTCTCGCCTTTGTCTGGGCGGTTTAGAAATTCCGTCCCTACTTGTGTGGCCGCCTTTTCCGTGTCGTCACAGATCATCGCGCACTGCTCGATGATCTGTGACCGGCTTCGGCTTTCTTCTCTGAAGGACCCCACTGGACGACTTGGCCTTTTGGCATTATGCCTACAGGAGTATTTCTACTCGGTTGCTTACAAGTCTGGACGTTTCCATCTGGACGCCGATTGCTTATCTCGCTACCCTGTTGATCAGACATTGAGTCTAGCCCCAGCGTCATGTCAATGTCAAGATGAAGGACAGCACGCACAACCTACAGACCACTTTTTCGTTGTCGTCTTCTGACCGCTGATATATCATCTACGTAGCAATATGTAGTCCTTTGACACAGCCATCATGTCGAGTTAGCGTCAGTTGTGGTTAGCCTCCGTGCGCTGAAGTTGATTTATGTAGCAGTGTCCAGGTCCAGCATCCTCGCGAGCATCAGCGCTTCACATGAGGTTCTGGTGTTACTAATACGCATGCTCCAGCTGGCGTCGTTGCCCAAGTGCAAGCAACTGGTTATATAAACATCTGCAACTCTTCAACATATGTCTGTGCGTGCAACATTTGTACATAAATTTAGCGTCATTTCATGACGTGTCGCTCAATAAAAAAATTGAAACACGGCCACTTAGCCTCCGCATCCTCCGTATGTGTGTGTAAGAGACACGCGGTGATTAGAAACGGTCTTTGTTGTCAGTGGAAGAGTGAAATGTGAAGTGGAACGGTTTTTTTCTGGTCATCTGCTGGCGTATGTATGTTTGAAGCCTAATAACTTCCACTACGATGCACCGATTTCGATAATTATTTTTGCGTTGATCTCAGCCTTCGGCACTACAAGACTCCAGCGCTGCAATGCGAAAGAGCGTCGGCGGGCCCCTTTAAATAGGTGTAGCCGGCGCACACACGAGTGATCCGCTCTTGAAATGCACGGTGCTTGCCTTTTAGATGGAAGAGCACCCGTGGCACGAATGTACTCGCCACCGCCTATCTTGTCCAATCCACGACGAGAACCAGAGCCGAGCGAGGAAGGGGAGAGTCCCCGCAGAGCATACGGCAGCACCAGCGAACGGAGCAGCTCGGCATCGTCGGCAGAGCGTAGCAATTCGCCGCCGCTGATTTTGTCAAGGTGACGGCCGCCGAGACTCCGGATGTACTCGCCACCGCTCAACTTGTCCAGCGTCCGAGCTCCCTTGGACGAGGACGAGGCGGAAGCCTGACCGCCACCGGGCTCGTCCCCACGCACCTGCTGTCAAGAAAATACAATGAGATCGACAATCAGAAGACGTTATTGTTATTTGCATACTTTTTGCAATATCACAAAGCGGAAGGATATACACTTGGGCTGACAGTTACATGATTATACACAGGAAACAACGCGACATGCGCTATTTCGCTTCATCCCGAGTTATTGCGCTGTTTTATTTGAATATCTTTAGGAATGTGACGCGAAGCTTCGGTTGAGTGCACCGTTCAAACTGAGTTCAGGTGTTTCTAGCAGATTGAATTGCACATATTTAAAAAATTAATCGACAAAATAAAACCAGCCACATGCAATATATGTTACATCTGTAGTCGAAGGCCCAAGAATCAGTTAATTTAAATCCATAGAATCGAAGACAGAAGACTTCATGGCCTTTTGAAATTCTATTACCATGCGTGCTTGAGATACATATGTGTGAACAATATTATGTTAAGACGTCCGATATCGCGTCCTTCCTTTTTTTTTCAAATAAATGTATATAAGGAGAGGTTAGTGCCAATGCTTAGTGCCGGCTACTTCTAATCTCTTGCACAAAAGTCGACATCACACTTTTTGTAGCAAACACATGACTATACCTATGTACATGGCAGAACGCTTACGCAATGAGTCCATGTTTTACAATACTGAGTGCCCGCACCACACAGAAATGTGTCCACACCACACAGAGTTTGTAAAAAGACAAGTAAGCACGCCAATTCAAGTGTTCACACAAAACATGAAAGTTCAATAAAATGTCTAAGGTGACCTTGTGTCTTAAGCACTGAACTGTTTGCAGAAAGGTTTTTACAAATATATCGTAGTGAGACACGAAAAAATTGTTATGAAACGTACGGGTAACAATGACGACTATACCTTTTTTGTTTAGTACTTTTGAGATATTTCTTATTTCTCCAGAAAGTGAACGACAGCACGCGCTGCAGTGGCTTGTAGCTTTCCTTTTGGCCATGGACGCAAGATTTTTGCAATTGATGAAGATCGTTTATTCCAAAGAATTTAGTTTTTGTAAAAGTTTTTTTTTGAGGTCCAACATAATTTTTGCAATGTAGAAGATTGTGCTCCACATCATTTTTGAGCTATCCGCATGAGCAAGTAGGACTGCCAGCTTTCCTTATTTTATACGGGAAGGCCTTCGTGTAGGCCGCACCAAGTCGAAGCCTATGGATGACTGTTTCTAACAATCGGTTAACCTTTAACGAAATATGAATTCTATACCGGGATCAATGCTATATAAGTGAGAGTATTGAGCACCATTTTCGAACCAGGTTTCCATAGACAGTAAACCGCTCAGCTTGTTTATTAGACATCGTGCATCGCTTATCGGTAGAGGTTGCAGTGATATATCAATCTCCTGATGCGCTGTATGTGCCATGTGGTCAGCTATGTCGTTTCCTGTGATTACATAGTGGCTTGGTACCAACTGGATTATTATGGTGTGGTTTAAATGTTTAGCTACAGCGTAAGTCCTCTGTATTTCATATGAGAGCTCACTAGCTTTGTTATTCAGTACCAGAAACAGATCAGCGTTCTGACTGTCATATTCGGGGCTCAAAAGTGTTTCTAATTGAGGAGGTAAAAATATTGTGGCTGCTGAACATATCCTGGGATATTCTAATAAGCACTTCATGCTCTCGGAGGTACACATAAGTAAATGCTATTACATGCTTTTTTAGAGTAATACCTTGGTACAGCAACATTAGTTGAAACTAGATGCTAAATAAAAGACGCACACAGAAAAAAAGGAATATAGAAAAATTTAAATAAAATGTTGCTGAAATACGTTGACTTGAGGCAAATCACACAGCTGTATAATTACGGAGCCATCGTCAGCGTTATCTTTGTTCAGTCAGTTGTCAGAGTAGATAGTTTTCATAAAGGTGACATCGCACAACTCCGTAGCCAGCGTGCTCGAACGATCAATTAATCACAAGACGAGACATCCTGCAGACGAACCGTAAACCCCATGGAGTGACTTCTCTTGTTTAATGCTTTGCAGTGGAACCGAAGAAAATTAGATGAAAAAAAAAACACATACAAAAATCTGAACACGCCCTCTGCACCAACACCATGAAGGTGTCTCGCAGAGACCAGCCTCTCTCAAACAAATCTGTTGTTTTTTTGTTTTCTTAAAAGGTGGAAATAAAATCAAACAATAATGCACGCAAAATGTGCTGCAACCTTGTGGGGCAAATTTTAACAAACGAAACAGTGTCAGTGAGCCTTTCAATTGCCCTCGTTTTCTATCCAATACGCTTGCATAGAAAATGCTGTTCAATAACTTAAAGAATGGGCCTTGTAAGGTAAATAATGGAGTGATATCTAGACCACAAAGAATATGCTGTGACACATTTCCAATATATAGATAACAGTGATAAAAGGAAAATATGGAAACAGAGAAAAATACCAATGTTAATATGCGATAAAGCTCACTATCGACCCGATGATAAAAAATCAAGCTAAATTTTAGGGGCATTGATTATGTCTCAACCTGGTCTACATTTAACGCGAAAACCTGAGGTGCCTCATCAAAGGCGACATTTGACCGTCGGCTGTGGCGTCCCTTGAAGTCGCCGACAAGTGGTGCGAAAAATCATAAAGTGTGCGCCGTTCGTGTGATGTCACAGGAACGTCACACATTTCTAAATATTTGCGACGCCCATACGATGGCATCATTACGTCACTGCGACTTCAGGTGACCTCACGTCACATAGTGACGTCATCACATAATATCGTAGCTTGGCGAAAGGTGACCCGATCACGGAAGCAGTGGGAAAACAGGTGAGGTGCTTCACAACAAGGAGGTAATGCGAAACATGGTTAAGGATAGAAAACATTCAGAAGAGTGTCGGGCCATCGCCAATATGACTGAGAAAAAAATAGATTGGCCTTAGTGAATGCTAAAGCCATTGTCTTAAGCCATCGCAAAGGGGACTCTGTAAGTTGAAAAAAGAATTTCACCAATTAGCCAGGCTGAATAAACTACATATGTCACAGTCTCGACCCCTGCAAATCAGATTAACAAAAAATTTAGTAGTCACCACTGACCACGGGTAGAATAACTAGCAACACTATTTAGACTTTCAAGAGCCGTTTCATTGCAGCGCCATCAGGAGGTGCTGATATGTATGGGCCACTGGGGTTATCTAGATCTGATAGCTGATTGCGAACGTCGGTAGCGACACGTCCATTGTGTGGACATAAGTTTCTTAGTGAAAAAAAAAAAACAACGTTGGCTTTGTGGTTGAATAAAATTTCTAAAAAATTGTTCTCGTTCAGTTCAAGTGATCGACGGTATTTTGTTCGAAGAGAGCATTCAAGCCGTACAAAGGCGCTTTGAAGTGCAACAGTGTTGGAAAAAGCTCCACCATGTGCCACTTTCACTGTTGCATATCATAATTTAGAAGACTCATGCTTGAGAAAAAAATACAAGGTAAAAAAGAATGGCAAAAAAATGGCAGAGTGCAAAATGTGTAATAGGACGTAATTTGAACGAGCCAGCCAGACTACTTTTCATGCTTCCCACTGTTCCAGAAATGAAACCTGCTGAAATATTTACATTACAGCCTTACGACTCTGGCAACGTGGTAACGCGTGGGGTGCATGAATTTTCAAAGTAACTTAAGCCGAAGTTATAAGGGAGGCCGGATAGAGCTAGTAATTGACAATGATTTTTATCAGTGTGCACAATTTATTTTGGGTAGACGTTAAGTGGCCACGTGCTGTCATGAATGTGGCCTCTACGCAGAACACCTTCGATCTGAGTGCACGCTTAGAGAAACAGTGTGAAACAAATACAAATAAAGGGAACACTCCTGACTACGTATGCTGGAGCATAACTTTGGCCGCTCTGGCAATACACCAGTGCGCGCGTACGTGTATAAGGCGCGCGTGGGCGCTTCTGGCACCTTTCCCACGGCATGAAAGCATGCGGCTCGACTGCTCCATCTCAACCGCTGATGCGTGGAGGCCTTGCCGCTGTTCAGAGTGAGAAAACTATACGCGAACAACAACGCGGGAAATGAGAGGGAGTAAGTAATCCGAACCATACCCACAACATCGCACGAACGCAAACATAAAACGAAATCATTATTGCGGCCCAGCTTGCTGCAGCGGCACCTTTTCGGTGCTCGGGTGACAAAGGCGACGGCAGAGTATTGCGTATACTCATGCCTCCAGGTGACGGTGGTGCAAGGCGCTGAGTTTTTTTTTTATCGGCACCGTCGATTGCGATACAGGTAAGCGTAGCACGAAGACACGACAAGAAAAAAAAAAAAAAGAAACACACTAGGGTTTACTGGTCATCCCCGTGTACAGGGATTCATCGGTGGCTGCAACCACTTTCAGCTGTTGCACATTTACTCAACTCCTTCGTACACTAAGCACCTGGATCTATCCAGGAGTGTTCGTTTTTGTGTCCGAGGTGCCTCTCCCACAACCGCGCACTCCACTGCATTCGAATGTGGCCGTGGTCTGGGAGTCTCTTCGGTGAACGCGAGTGTTTGTGATACCGCGTGGAGAAACGACGCTGTACGTAGGATGTATACGACCGATGCTATCCGTCTTCGTTGCTGCTTTCGGAGGGTTTTGTGCGTGGCTGAGAGAACGGGTGACTGTCAGCGCCGATGAATCGATGACGCAGTGCCAGCGATGCGGCGCGCTCTGATGGAAGACAGCGGCGCGTGGTCTCTACGACGGACCGAATCATCGAGTCCTTAGAAGAAACGTTTTGCGTAGATTTTTGTGTCTTTTTGTCGTTGCAGAGGACAGTCAATCTTTCTCGCGGTGTGCAACTCAATAGACCCGCAAAGGTTCGGTGCGATCGGAAGCAGCCCTCGAGGCCGATCTGTATGGACACGCTCGTAGTGTGAGCTATAGCTGTGTGGTGGGATTCTCTGGGTTGGTCGATCAACACGTGTATATCTCCTGCGGTACTAGGAATGCATTGTGTTTCGGGGAAACCGATGTTCGTTAGGAGAATGATAGGC